ACCACCAGCTCAGCCTGAAAAAGAGATATAATAGTGGGGGTGAGCGAACACTTGCTCACCGTGGGAATACCATGCAGTATAATCAATATAAAGACTTAAAATCATAATCGCAGCATGAACACAAATCAACTAGTCTACCCTCCCTAAACACAGCCATGCTCATGTGATCACACCTAACCTACCAATCTCGAAAAAAGATAGGAAACAAGCCGTCCCCACGAAAAAGACGGGAGCCGTCGATACGAAAAAGACGGGAGCAACCGCAGACGTCCGTCAAACGGACTAAGCTCTCTAAAGGCTAGAGTTAGGCCTCGTAGACTACTGGTTCACATGCATACATAGATTATCAAGCCAAGCATTTATAGAAATTAACATAAATGGTAAGTTTATCAACACCCACCTGGAGACAGCGACAAACATAAAACGAGGCTCGAGTAAGTGATGAGGTCAACACCTCAAAAGCACCTACACGAAATCAAGATAGACTCTCGATTACAATCAATCCAACGAACACTTAAACTTAGTTGTAACATTTAAACTAAGTGGCTCGTGGAAAATATCGTGGAGTTATGGAACATTTGACTCGACTCAGAACCAAGTATGGGGAGATAGTGATGAAAACGATCGGAAACGATCGGCATAGGGCTCAACCATTTCCACTTTCATATTTTTTTCTCGAAAACGAAAATGATACGATAATGTCAGAAACGAAAACGGCATCGGTATTCCGGTAATTTCGAAAACGAAACTATCCGATCGAAAATACATCGATAACGATCGAAATATATTAAAACGGTATTTAAAAAACGATAAATACACCACATTATAAAATATAGCATTAAAACATTAATTGAAATATTTTCATGGCATAATAGTAGCAAAATCCAAATTAAAATCCACACCATTTGCTATAACAAAATCCATACAAATCCACACCATTTGCTATAACATTAATTTCAATTTTTGGGCACTGTAGAAGGATTGGGCTGAAGGGGATTTTGGCATTTGGCCCATTTGGGATTTGGATTGGGCTTTATAATTAAAAGTGAGCCTAGTATGGGTTGGGCCGGTATTACCGACGATAAAATACCGTTTAAATACGGTAATTTTCGAAAACGATCGGAAAAGGGCTAAACCGTTTTCGTTTTCATTTTCGAATTTTTTTACCGTTTCCATTTTCGTTTTTTCGGTTACCGTTT